TGGCGCAGCGCAAATCGCTTCATATCTTAAAGGGCCATCTCAAAGGGCGCAAAATGTAACGTAACGTAAATGGTCGACTACAGATTTGCAATATAAACATCTTAAAACTGAAGTGCAGCATTGCTCATGTGGACTGTGAGCTGCACTTTATCGGAGCTGCTGAAGTTAAGGTGTGGATTTGAGGTGAGATTTCTGCCTGATCAGTAGTGTTTGTGGTTGGTTTCGGTTTTACATGCAGCATGCTGTCCCAAACTGTGTTGGTCTAACGGTCTAAAGTGATAGGCTATATACCAGCGGATCAATAACGTAATGCACAGCAGAGTAGAGGCCAGCTAGAATTAAAAATATTATGAACTCTCATTAAATTATGACATTAGTCTCGTGATATTGCAATTTTGTCAGAGAACACTGTGGTACATATTCTGAATGTGCAGAAAGTTTTGAACCTGAGCAGAAAATCTGCTGAGACAAATGAGCTATTAAAGTCCAGGAGTTTATAAATGAATTAAAATGACTTAATTTATCATAGAGGTGAAAAGGTCCCACATAGGCCTATTAAAAGAGTATTTTTCCCCAAATGGAGACTCAAAAGAGAAGGCAAGGCAAAGCATGTGTACTGACTTAGCAGGGATCTTATTAAATTAGAAAAGTTGATCTACAGGGAAAAATGTATTTAAAAACAATAGCATGTATGCCTGAATTCTATTAAATTTTAATATTTTGAATTGTCACATACCGCCTCAAAATTGTGTTTCACTTTATATAGATAGAGATGAACCATAAATTGATGTAATGCTCAAAATTTAAAATCTCGTCCAGAACTCCAACACTGTCACGGCCAGAATTCTGCCTGTAAATAAGATATTAAATCAGTATAAATAAGTTATTTTAGGAGGTTAATTAAATAACTAAGAAACTTTTACTCTGAGTACATTTTAAGGGAGGTACTTTTTACTTTTACTTGAATAGATTATTATAAGAGTAACTTTACTTGTACAGTAAGTAAAAATTCATCAGTGTAACAGTAGTTTTACTTCAGTACAATATTTTAGGACCCTTTCCACCTCTGGATATGCCCCATGCTAGTTTGACATGTGATATTTACATGGGTTGAAATTTGAGATCATCCTTAACATTTATTACTAAACTGGTAAAAACACAATCATTGATGAGTGACACACCTTTAACCCTTTCCTCTCTCAGCTAACAGACTGCGAATCATTTAGCTACAGAAAAGTTTAATATTCCCCCTAAAAATCAATATGACCAGGAAAAGCTTCAGTTACCAAAATGTCAGTTGATTTCCTCCTTTGTTACGTCTTACACCCACTAGAGGTCACACATCATCCATAAATAAAACATGCACTACTGCACTACTCACCATTCAAATGCATTTCTGTACATACAAGTCTGAGGGGCCTGAGGAAACCGGTCTGAGGAGGAGAAATGAGGTCTAAGCGTCTGCAGTTGGACCTTTTTGGACGGGCGGAGTAAAAGTGAGCAGAACTTTGTGAGTCATATATGAGTGAAAACACAGCATTTGAGACTCGTAGCTACAGATTCAACAGATTAAAGATGTTGTAGTTAGTGACTTTTGTTTGAACAAGAACAATATTCAAGATTTTTCTTTTAGAAAATATTCACTTCAGCAACTGTTTTTTTTTTTTTATTGTGATACATGCATGTGGCTACAAAACACAACTTCAGCCTCCAGAATGACCATACAGTTGAATCAGCACGTCTCTAAAACAGTTTCAACACAAGCAGATTAAAACCATCATGAAGGAGGATTTACTGCAGGACATTTAGATTAGACTGCATGAGTTGAGTTCATACATGTGCTCAAAGCCGACAGAAAGGATTTCCCTTAATTAAAAACAGGTTATTGTGATAAAAAAAATCAAAGGGGTTAATAGTTCAGCACTTTCACATCTACAGGACAGTTGTTAACGACTGTAAGAAATTCCACGACAGCAAGAGTTTAATATACCTGCAATGTAATCAATAAACACCATCCTGTTTTCAGTTATTTGAAGGGGAAGTTTTATGTAAATGACAAATTATCATCTTGTCTTTGCGTAACATCTGGATCCTTCAAAAACCCTGACACGCTGGTATGCCAGGCTACATGTACCTACATTTGTTCAGTGCTGCTTAAACAATTCATTTTCATTAATTTATTCATTTTACGCCCATAAATTACACCCTTCATTTTAGAGACAAAGCAGTTGCCATTCAGATTCTGTCACACAGAGAAGAAGAAGAAGAAGGAGTGAGCAGGAGCGCCCCCGCTGGTAGTTGGTATGTTGCCGGCAGCTGTGCTGTTGCTGTTGTTGCTGGTGGTGTTGGTGTCTGAGCCAGGAAGGTGGTGTTGTTTCCAAATAATAACACTGCTGCCTGGAACCAAGAGCCGCTCTGCTCACCGCCAGATCACCCTGAACAAACAAACAGGACAGATGTGTTCAAGTCCAACTTTTTGTGAAGCGAAAATAATGTTGTGTTTTCTTTTTTGTTTCGTTGTTTCTCCAAATGCACTATAAGGTCAATATACAATTTTGCCTTCTCATCAAGCTCTCTTGTGAATGAGTAAAAGTGAAAAAGCATATTTCCAGAAAGGCCTTGAAATGTGCTCATTTTAAAGCGAGACTATGCAACTTTTCCTGATCAGCAGTCACTGTAGTTCCATGAGGCAATTATTGAATAATGGGAAATGATCCAATGAAACAGTAGTGAGAGTTTAGAAGAGTTGATTAAGAAAAAAGCTCAGGTCTAGGTTAGTTGAGAACCCATCTTTAAAAATCTTTGCTAAAATAGTCAGCAACTCTGAGTCCTAAAAAGCTCACTGGAGTCAAAGACTGGTGCAATACAATGTGGCGCTGTAGCTCTCTTGTGGGAGATGTAAAAACACTGTTCTCAGAAACTGATGGTTTGCTTCAGTTGACAAAAAGTATAATACACAGATTCTGTTCTTCATTATTCTCTATCATCTTTCTTTAAAGCTCCGGTGCCACAACCAATTTAAACCATGTTCAAACCAAAGAGGTGCAGAGACACAAAGTGACCTGTATGCCATTACAATAAAGATCTCAACTATACATAAAACAGCAGCAATATGTTGTCAGTATTAAATAGCCAGTACTCCGACTAAATCCGTCAGTTTAATCGCTAACCTGACAACCTGCCTTGCTTTTCATGTCTGTCACATGTGCTCAGTGTGAACCTGCCCTCATCTGTGAAGAGAACAGGGAACCAATAGCAGGCCTGTGAATTCTAGTGTTCGCTAGCGAATGCCAATTGAGCTGAACGGGCTGCAAGTATCGCTTCATACTACCAGTAGTGACAAGGACACAGAGCAGCAAGTCAGGAAGGATAAGGAGAGAGCTACTGTCAGTGGCCTCCACCTGCAAAACCATTTATCCTTTTAGGGTTGTCTGGCTGTTGCCTCTCCTCTGCACCTGTTTTTACTTTAACTTGCACTAAAACAAGTGACATTGATTCACAACCGCTTATGCTTCCTAACAGGACCGATTGATATTAATAAAGTTAGTGAATTTGTAACAATTATGAATAAAGACCATTAAAACAGATCAATGATGACTTCAGCTAATAAACCACTATCATTTAATCTATGAAAAACAAAAGCATACAACAATCAGCATCGTGTTAATGTGGCTGTGTGTGTGTGTGTGTGTGTGTGTGTGTGTGTGTGTGTGTGTGTGTGTGTGTGTGTGTGTGTGTGTGTGTGTGTGAAAGACATTTAAAGCAAGATATATAAAGTCCTGATTGACGTAGTTAGATACAATGTGACTAATACTTTGTCACACAGAACTCACCAGTGAACTTGAATTCATGGTCGTGGTCCTGCATTTTGGTCATGATAAAGAAAAACATTTTAAAGCTTTCCAAGGGGTTTCCAAATGTCTAAACTCAAAGTCTGGACAGGGCTGGCACTTACATTAGGGTGTGTTTTTTGGTGGTTAACAGGTGACGCTGAGGTCACCGTCAGTCCCAGTGGACGTGTAGGTGTAGTAGCCTGGCTGGTTGCTGGTGATCTGGCTGTTGATCCAGGACTGATACTGGGACACTCGGGTGTAGCCTGATGGGATATTAGGCACGGCACAGCCCAGAGTACTGGTAAAACTCACGATTCCCCCCTGGATCCAGCGACCGCCCTGCTTGCTCACCAGCGGACCTCCTGAATCCCCCTATAAGGAAAGAAACATCTTAGAGAAGGATTCTTTGCAAAATGTGAAATCGGACACAAACACAGGAGTAAAAATGATGTTTTTCCAGTGAGATCTGAGTGACTTTGCTGTTTTTAATCCTGTTGCTTCTTTAGAAAAAACATTTAGTTATGATAAAATATTCAAATACAATCCTGTCTGAATGTTTTTTTTTAAATAATATTTTTTAAAGGCACTTATTTAGTAATGAAAAAGAACTGATAAGAGTTTCGATAAAGAACTGAGACAACTGAGACTTCATTAACTTCCTGATACCATAATTGTCTTTTGAAATTGTATGTTGTTCTTACTGCTGTTTATGGGGCACTGCTTATTTATGTATTTAATTCAGTCGTTATTTACTTATTTTATTTATTTGCTTTACCTTTCTATTCTATTTCCACACAAATGTCATTATATCTGAGCAAAATGACAATAAAGATCGTTCAAAATTCTATTCCATTCTTAAAAATGCTGCCTTGCTTTTTGCTTTGAGTTAGTAATCTACCTGCTTTCTCTGTGGCCCCTTCATGCCTCAGAATTCAGGGCGATGGCCGTTTTGCGCTCTAATCCAGCTTTAACACCGCTTTCAGATCGAGGGTTATTACTGTGGATGTTTTTTTTCTAATCTTCTCTGTCCAGTTTCTTTCTCTGTCTTGTTACGTTACGTGCACGGCCATTTTCCACCGTTCCCAGCGCCTGTTTGTTGATTACAGGGAACGATCTTTGTGGGTTCACCTGTCTGCGCAGCTCTTGTCTCGCTGGCTGTTTGAAGCTTTAGGCGTATCTGTCTTCTGAGATGGAAGCTCCAGAGGGCATCAGAGCGCACTCAACCAGAGGAATCTCAAACTCTATGGCGCTGCACAGAGGAATGACAGTGGAAGACATTTGCACTTCTTTGTCTTCCCCTTGTTCTTTTATTGGGTTCTATCTGCGGAACGTCTCCCACTTCTCCTTGACTCACTCTGTGCTGAGTGTTGCTGTCAGTGAATGTGCTCGTACCCCTTCCTACCTGCCTGTTGACACATGGAGAGCTGTCCTCCATGTTGGCCCTACTCCACTCACCGCTTATAAAATATTTAAACTTATTCACAAAACTGTGTTAATGTCACAGACAGATTATGATGAAAGGATCCCTACAGCCAGTTAGTTACAGGAAGGTTTTGTTGCTCCCCTGGGTAAAGGAGGAACATTTTTACATGGAAAATTCTGAAAACACAGTTGTTGTCACCATTGTAGTTATACTGTCTCTGAAAATAAATGTAATCCAGGTGCTTTCTGACCCACCTCCAGTTCCAATTCTACCCCAGCCGGTGGCCCAGGAGAGAGTCCCCTTGTAGTAGGTGCTGCCTGGAGCTGCCAGACAGACGGGCTGGATGTAGGAAGTGAAAGCCACCGGTGAGGAGAGCTTCAGGAGGCAGATGTCGTTTTCCAAATTTGCGGGGTTATAGTTGGGATGAATGATGATCTGTGATACTGTCCGAGACGCTTTATTGGGGTTTGATCCCTGTAGACTCTGGAGACCCAGAGAGACAACTAGAGTGCTCGTGGTTATACCTGTGCTGTAATCAGAAGTAACACAAAACAATGCAAAGCCATGAAAAGCAGAACTGTAGTCAAGAGCACTTTAGCAGACACTTGAAGACCATGTCTGGTCTAGTTCGTATGGAGCCTGACAGATGTGGCAACAGGGAGATATCATTCCCTCAACTTAGTCATCCTTTTTCTCAATTAATATTTTCATGACCTCAAGTCCTAATTAGAGAAGTCGTTTCCTAAAATTAATAATTTTCAGTCCATGTTCTTTGCATGTGCTGGAGAGGAGACCTCCAGAAAACTAAGGATTCATTTCTACCTTATTCTACCAATCAAAGTTTTGTTTTTACAGCAAAGCAATCTCCAAGTGTACATATCTAATGAAGTTAGCAAGAACAAATTTCAAGCGTCGGTTAGAGTTTTAAAATAAAACTTGTGGTTAATGTTTGGTTAGGTTTAGGAAACATCATGTTTTGGGTTAAAATAACTACGTTACTTTCATGACTTGTACTTAGTTACTTCAACTAAAACAATCAGTGTTGACTTTTTGTTTCAAACATACAATAGTGTTCAGTCACCTGCTTTTAGCTTTCAAAAATGACTACAGTGCATTGAACTATGACGCTAAGGGGCTTCCCAGTGCGTTACAAACTGACACCAAGGGGTCTTTACCATGCGTCCATATGTGTCGACTATTGACTGATCTGTTAATAAAGATTCGGTTGAGAGAACAAATTAATAAATATAACGGTTTCAGTTCCCCCACTGCCTTGACTTCTGTGTGTGAGTAAAAGAACTTGTTTCTCTGTTTGTATGAGTGTCAGGTGCTTGTTGCGTTTTAATGTTGTCTGTCTATTTGTTGTTTTTTGGCTCTCCGTTCGGTGGCTTTGCCTGTTTTTGTCCTGCAGTGATAAGAGGGGGCGTTACTCCGAAAGTCCACTGACTCCAGCTACGGCGCGTTAAGCAAGGATTATACTTTCTGAGTCCGCTGTTGCGTACATTCCCTGCTGAATTGTTCATTCAATTGTAATCAACCCTATGTCTTTCACACTTTGACAACCTAAAACTGTTCGAGTTTAACCAGCTATTTGCTAGTTTTTGTCTGCCTGCCTGTTTTGGTTGCTCTCAAGACCAACACAGAATGAACTGAGCTATCACATTGCCTTGCTCTCTCTGCTTTTCTCTCTGCCTCAGGAAATCACATCGCCCAGCTGCTCCTCTACCTGACTGTTGCCTCCCCTGCCTCTTAGAGCAGTTCTTCTCAACCTTGTTGGCTGGGGACCCCTATAAAATTAAGCATTGTCTGCTTGCTACCCGTCATCACAGGTTGAAACAATGTAGATTTTCACCTTGAATGATGATGAATGATAAACTCATTTAAATTCGAGTAGCAACGGTCTCGACCCCAGTTTGGGAACCAGGCTGTTTACAGGACTGCATGGCACAACCCTACCCTCACTGCTTACATTGCACAGCAGTGAGCAGCAGTCATCACCCAGTCGTTGTTAATGAGGGTTCCTCCACAGAAGTGGAACCCTGTAGAGGTTTGCAGACTGGCCTGCCAGGGCCAGCTGCCTGCAGAGGCCACCTGTCCTCCAACAATCTTGGTGTTCAGCGTAGGCTGACCACACACTGAGGAGAGAGACAATAAAGAGACAGGCTGAACAATACGGGGTTTACAGGAAATACTAACAATAATGAAACTATTTTAATCAACAACATGTTTAAATCTTCAAAATGACAGATGGACAAGAAGTAAAACGTTAGCAGTGAAACTTTGACTTAGCAGCTAGTTGTGAGGGAGACTCACTTACTTAAAACAGCAATTCATGTGTAAATTCAATATGTGTCATGCTATATTAACATGGGATACATTTTGTGAATGCTGCGATTGACTGGCGACCTGTCCAGGGTGAACCCCGCCTTTCGCCCAATGTCAGCTGGGCTCCAGCCCCCCCGCGACCCTGTACGCAGGATTAGCGGTTGACGATGGATGGATGGATGGACATTTTGTGAATATTTTTATTACTAAAGTCATTCAAACACAAAGATTTTTGATAAGTGACTTTAAACCCTGTCCTCTCTCAGCTAACAGACTGGTAAATCATTTCCACTAACAGAAAAGGAGTTTGCAGTTATTTTCACAATTCCCCTAGAACTCATTATGACCACGAAAGCCTTCAATGACCAAAATGTGTCAGCTGTCTTCCTCTTTTGTTACATCTTAAGACCACTAGAGGTCACAGTCTAACAATAAATTATTATTATCCATCCATCCATCCATCGTCAACCGCTTATCCTGCGTACAGGGTCGCGGGATTATTATTATTATTATTATAATATTGGTTGTAATAAGCTGCTTGAACAATCAACCTATACAGACATTTTTCTGGTGAGGACGGGCTGAAATGACTGTATGTTGGTGCTTCTAATCTTATTACTACTAATACTAATGAGATGTATTAATGCTACAACTACTACTGTTATTGCTCCAGTCCCTGGTGACGCCTTCATGTCACAAAATCATGACAGTAGCAGAAGTTAAAGGGGCCCTCCACTGATTTTACACATGAAGTCAGGTTTACTCTTTACGAAGAGTCGTACTCCTGTGATCACAATTATTTAACGTTATTGTTTTATAAACAACCATGGTGCTGCTATGAACTTCATGATGTACAACAGTTAGTGAACAAATCATTGTTCAAATGCACTTCATTATGTAAAACAGTAAATGAACACATCTTCAATCAAATACATTCTGAAACAGAATAAGAAACTGTTTGTTAGAAGAAGAAGAAAATATTTAAAATTAAGCTTTCCAAGGCGAAATGTAGAGTTAAAGTTGAGTTAAAAATCAAAGTCTGGACGTGGTAGGCACTTACCTTGAGCTGCTGGGGGTGGGGTGGCAGGACATCTTATGCTGAGGTCACCGTCGGTCCCAGTGGATTTAAAGGTGATGAAGCCTGGCTGGTTGCTGGTGATCCGGCTGTTGATCCAGGACTGATACTGGGACACTCGGGTGTAGCCTGATGGGATATTAGGCTGGGCACAGCCCTTACCACTGGAAAAACTCCAGATTCCCGCCTGGATCCAGCGACCGCCCTGCTTGCTCACGAGCGGACTTCCTCCATCCCCCTTAAAGGAGAGAAACATTTAGGAGAAGGAATCTTTGCAGAAGGTCAAATCTGACAAAAAACAGGCGTAAAAATGATCACCTGACAGACGTCCTTTCCTCCAGCACTGAACCCGGTGCACATCTTGTTGTTTGTGATCAAGCTCACTCCGTAGTTACAGGTACACTCTCTGTTTCCTACAACCGGCAGCTGCACCTCCATTAGGTTTTGTGGGAAAGGAAGGGGCACTGAAGAGACACAAATTCAGGTTAATAAACAAATGTTCACATCTTTTAAAATGGTTTCACACAAAATGGGCAGTTTAATAAACACATCAGTGATCTGTGGCACACCTCAAGAGTTTCCAGGTGTTCCTCTGTGGATCAAACAGACATTCTCACTACTTGAAGTTAAAGGACCATGCCAGCAGTTTTACAATGTCTTAGCCCATTAAAGGGACAATGAGTAACTCTATTGTTAAACCAAAGGACAGGTCCCCCACCAAACTGCAAAACACTTCCAGTATTTCAAATTAAATTTATATAACGGCAATTCACAACAAAAGTTATCTCATTTCACTTTTCATATAGAGCAGGACAAGACTGTCCTCTTTATATTATTATTAACACTTGAGGCAAGAAAAGACTCTCTTTTTGGAGGAATAGAGAACTCGATCAACTCATGTTCTCGACCAGTTGGGGTTGAGAGAGAGAGAGAGAGAGAGAGAGAGAGAGAGAGAGAGAGCATTGGATAGCGATAGAGGGTGAGGGGGTGATGGAACACAACGACCACATGCTGTAGAAATACATATACAGTAAAAGTGGTTGTGGTGCAGACAAGAAATGAATAATGTTATTGATCATTTTACTAATATTAATGATAATGAAATAATAGGATTATTAATAATTGTACCAGTGGCACTCGAGCAGTAACATAACTAAGGGATATTTCAGGACTTCACCTGAGCCAGCCCTAACTATAAGAGGAAAGTCTTAAGCCTACTCTTAAATGTGGAGATGGTGTCTGCCTCCTGAACCCAAACTGGAACCTGGTTCCACAGGAGAGGAGCTTGATAGCTGAACGCTCTGGCTCCTAGTCTACTTTTGGAGACTCTAGGAACCACAAGTAACCCTGCATTCTGGGAGCGCAGTGCTCTGGTGGGGTAGTAAGGTACTATGAGCTCTTTAAGATAAGATGGTGCCTGACCATTAAGAGCTTTGTAGGTGAGAAGAAGGATTTTAAATTCTATTCTGGATTTTACTGGAAGCCAATGCAGAGAAGCTAAAACAGGAGAAATGTGATCTCTTTTCCTGGTTCCTGTCAGAAGACGTGCTGCAGCATTCTGGATCAGCTGAAGAGTCTTAATGGACTTTTTTGAGCAGCCTGATAATAAGGAATTGCAGTAATCCAGCCTAGAAGTAACAAATGCATGGACTAGTTTTTCTGCATCATTTTTAGACAGGATGTTCTTGATTTTTGCAATATTATGTAGGTGAAAAAAGGCGGTCCTTGAAATTTGTTTAATGTGAGACTTAAACGACATGTCCTGATCAAAGATAACTCTAGAGATCTAAGATTTATGAAAAGGATATTTCACTTCATCCTTTATTCCCTGAGATTTGTTTTCATCTTTCTAAGTCAATGAAACAAAGATATTGTATTTTAATAAAGCATACTGGTGTTATACTGTATGCACTCTAACAACACAATGATGTGAACAATTCTTAATAAGTGCATTCATGTCATGATTTTGACGTCTACTTTCCGTTTTCCCATCTTGTTTAATTTCTCTACCAGTGGACTGTACAATAAAGCAAGATAACTGGCTTTTCCAGGTAGCTAAAGGAGTAACTTTGTGGCAACTGAGGCCTGTGCTACCCTTCATAGAGTTCAAACTACTCAGATTTAACTCCGGGTTATAAAGCAAAGTCAGGCTTGATAAACTCTTCTTTTATGTGTAATGATTTAAGATGAAAGGTGCAACTACATATTAGGTCCCTTAAACAAAACAAAATGGAACCAGGGGAGAGGGGTAATAATCCAAGAAAAAGAAAAAGCCTGAATATCATCTGACATCCGTCATAAAACTATGAGAGAAACTCTTTTAAAAACCTGTCCACCTTAGCTCGCCTCGCAGTGCAGGCCACTGATCTGTATCACATCTGTATCTCCCTGCCTCTGTGTGTGTTTGAGAGAGTCTTCCCTATCCTGAGTACCTGATGTGTGTCCCCTGGTTGTGTCCCACAACGCTTGTTTGCACTTGTATAAATGGTTTTCAGTCCCTCTTCGGTCATTGCAGTATGTTGAGGGTTCTGCTTGTCTCTGTGCGGCTGCATTTACCAGTTTTATTTGAATTTAGTTTCTTATAACAGATCATAACCTTTGTTATAATCTGTTACACGCTTCCATGCTTCCATGGAAGTCACATTATTCTGCTTTTTGCTAATAAACCTTGCAAACTGATGTCAGCTCTCCACTGTTGTGCGTTTGGACTCAAACCTGCTTATCACTCGATAAACATACAACCACTGTAATCAGACTGTTACTGAGAATAAATGTAATCCAGGTCCTTTCTGACCCACCTCCAGTTCCAACATTGCCCCAGCCGGTGGCCCAGGAGAGAGTCCCCTTGTAGAAGGTGCTGCCTGTGGCTGCCAGACAGACGGGCTGAATGTAGGTGGTTAAAGTCACGGGTGAGGAGAGCTTCAGGAGGCAGATGTTGTTTTCAAAAGTTCCAGAGTTAAAGTTGGGATGAATGATGATCTGTGATACTGTGCGAGACACTTGATTGGGGTTTATTCCCTGTAGACTCTGGAGACCCAGATACACGGTCAGAGTGCTCGTGCTTAGGCCTGATCTGAGGTAATCAGAAGAGAAACAAAACAGTGCAAAAACATGAAAAGCAGAACTGTAGTCAAGAGCACTTTAGCAAAAGTCCATTTTATGACCACGTCTAGTTTGTATGGAGATTAATAGATGTTGCAACAGGGAGATTTCATTTCTACAAGTTAGTAATTTGAATCCTAATATTATAAATAATTCCCTCATCTTAGTCATTCATGTGCTCAATATGCTTTTTTTCCTGATCTCAAGTCCTAATCACATAAATTGTTCCCTTTAATTATGAATTAATACTTCAGTCCGTACATGTAGTCCATGTTCTTTACATTGGTGTACTGTTGGTGTGGAGATCAACAGAATATAATGGATGAACATCTCTAAACCGAAAAACATCTGCAATATCAACAGGGGTTTTCAGTTGCAGCATCTTTTTACATGGCAGCGACAAACCAGCCCAAACATGAGGTCTGTCCCTGTGTCTCAGACCAAAAGCTTAAACTCTATAAACTCCAAAGGGAGACAAAGACACATGGAATCAAGAAATGTCTTTATCTCTGGACGGCATGATTCATTAATGGACACAACTTGTTTGCATGAGGGCAATCTCTGAACCCATCGGTCATCGACTGAAGAGGATTTAGCCTCTGGGAGCAACAGACAATGTTCTGGCTCCTGGTGTGGCTAGTGTAAATCTGGGTCAACACTTCCTTTCACATGCAGCGGTCAATGGGTGCTTCTCACAACTTGGCTGTTTCTGTTTATAGTCTGTATATAGATTGTGTTCTTTATACTGTAGCCTGTGTCGGATTTTTATGTTGTATCTTATTTTATAATTGTATTATTGTATGAGTAAGCACATCGTGAGCAATGTACAATCCTGAGTCAAATTCCTCATATGTGTACACATACCTGGCAAATAAAACTGATTCTGATTCAATTCTCTTAATTGCATCCACGTTTCCCTCACTTGCAAGGAAATCATGCAAGGAGAGAAGGAACGAGGAAATTTGCTTTTAGAGAAATGTGACGTCCTTTCCTGATGTTATTCTGCTTTCATCAGATGCAGTCGTGATATCGTATGTGCAGGCTTTCTTTCCGTGTTAAATAAATAAAATGGTCATGTCTTCTGTCAAAGACTTCCGCCAAGGCGGCACTCGTGTATCTTCACTCATAGCTCCTCAGAGATGGCTCCTTGCTCCTCGGAGCACAAATAAGAGCTTTGGGACGGTCTGCAAGATGTCGGAGAAGAACAACTTCTGGTTCAAGCCAGGAAACAACAAATAAGAGACTTGAGATGCACCCCATGTTGACAGTTCGATTAGCAACATGTGACGCGAGAATTGAGCGGGAGACGTCTATGAACGGATTGTTTCACAGTAACCAGTTTACAAAATTAATAAAAGCCAAATGGCTGTCAGACGATAGCCAGTGGGTTTAGAGATTGCATTAGGGGAAAGGGAAACAGCTGGACTACAAACAAGCTGTTTTCAGGATTTCAGAGCGGAGTTTTCTGTGGGAGATGGGAACTCCCTTTGGGGTGGGCTTTTTCACTTTGCAAACCTATTACATGCACAAAAAAAGATTTATAACTAAATAAAGGAGAGGGAAAAAGCCAAAAAGCATAATATGACCTCTCAAAAATTAACCCTAAAATGCATCCTAAACTCTTTCTAGAATAATCCTCTTTAATTTTCTTTCCCTGCCTCTTAGAGAAGCAGTAACCATCCTTTTTGGCTAATGACCCCTCAAAATAAATCATTGTCTGCTGATACACATCATCAAAGGTTTAAACAACACACATTTTCTCCTTGGATGGTGATATCGGTCGAATTTCAGTAGCAGAAAAATGTTTTTTATCTGTCCTCTCAGTCCTCATTTAGACAGACTGTTTGTTTATTTGTCGCCGCCCTACCCTCTCTGCTTACCTTGCGCAGCACTGAGCTGCAGTCATCACCCATTGATTGTTAATGAGGGTTCCTGCGCAGAAGTGGGACCCAGAGGTTCGTAGACTGGCCTGCCAGGGCCAGCTGCCTGGAGTGGCCACCTGTCCTCCAACAATCTTGGTGTTGAGTGTTGGCTTACCGCACACTGAGGAGAGAGACAAGACACAGTGGGGAAATAATTAGATAAAAGAAAGTAAAGAAGATATTAACAACATGTTTACGTCCCAAAAACATGTTTAAAATGTCCCAATGACAGACAAACAGACAGGAAGTAAAAAAGTGAGGTAAAAACTTTGACTTACCACTTAGTTGTGAGTGAGACTCTGAAAACATAAAACAAACAAAATCTTTATGATACAGTAATTGTGTATTTATATTTACTGATATGTCTTGGCTATAGTTCACATAATTGGCTTAAATTAAATCCACACATATTACTTTAATTGCATGCTTACAAGAAACTCTTACTACAAGGACAGACTGAAAAGTAAAGAAGAGAGAAGTAAGAAAGTAAATTTTTAAGGTGGCTTTAAATTGCAGAATTATAGGTCTGTGTTAAAATAAATTCAGCGCCTTTAATTTTCAATTCAAGCACAATTCAACTTTACTAGTTAGCTTGTACTAAACTAGATTCATGGCTTGAAAAATAAATAAAAATAATACAAATGTATGAAAGATGTGGAATATTTTAAGGATTGTTGAAAAACACTAAACTGCATTGCTGGCTTTAATAATGTTATTATTATATATAATAATAATGTTATTGCTAATATTTATTTCGTATTATTCTTCCGTTACGTTTTTTTGGACCTTAACTAATCCCACAGCTTTTGACGTAGAAACTCCGTTCAAACTCCAAGTTGTCCGGCTCAATGAGGAATGGGGTGCTATTACTTTTGTCATTGATACCTTGAAGACTTTCCAAAATATTCAAGGTTTTCCAGGAAACATTTCCCTTTCTAAATGAATGGAGAGACTGTAGAAATCCTCCTCACACCTACTCCACTTTGAAAGCTCACCAGGTCAGCATACATTCAGCTACAGACTTGATTTAAACTGTAAATTGGTCACAAGAAGTTAATCTATTAATGATGTATTCGGTCTTTCGAAATATTTTATGGTTTGTTCACGGTTGCTGTCAAAGTTTTATGCTTTTTTGAGCTTTTTTCTGAGTTTATAATGGGTGTGTATTGCGTGATCCTACACACACGCACGCACGCACGCACACACACACACGCACACGCACACAGAGTAAAGGAGACTTATTAGGCTTCTTATATTAAATGTCTTAATATATATGTCTTATCTATAATGTTACAATGTCAGATGTTCATGTTAAAAGTGGCCAAAGCTTTACTCTTGGCTCTTAATGATGTCATACAGAGCTGGTTTTCCATATATGGTAATTTGTAGGCATGACTGTAGTAACATCTTTAAATGTGCATGTGGCACCAATGATTAATCAATTCATTTTAATTCAGTTATCCCCTGGACTTTAATAGCTCCTGTGTTTCAGAAGTTTTTCTCCTCATGTCTAAAATGTTGTGCACATCCAAAATCTCTCCCACATATTTTTTCTTTTTGCAGAATAGCTTGGTAATATTTAGAGACAAAAGGTGTAATATATAAATATAATAGATATATAATATAAATAAAATCACAATCTATGAGAGTACAGTCAATATTTTAACAAAACCTTCCTGCCCTGTCCTCTGCTGTGCATTAGCCTGAGTTTTTGCTCTTCTGATCCCCTTTAGACCGTCTGACAGAACCTTTTTGGGATGAGAAAAGCGCGCTTTTCTTCATCAGAGATGGCAAATTGAAACTGAAAAGACTTGTAGTCAGAAATAAATCTCACCATAAATCCACACAAATGTGAACTTCAGCACCTTTAATAGAGTACAGCTCACAGCTGCTTCAGAAGGAAGCTAACATCCCCAATTAGAGTGTATCAAAGTCTTTATTGAGTGTACAACTTTATTAATCACAAAGGTATATGCAGAAAGTAAAAGGTACTAATTCATGTCTCAAAGAATGAAAGCAAATAGTGACTGTCAGGAAAAATAGCATTTACATCACACAGCTGCTTCCTGAATTCTTTTTATAATTATCTGCTAATAGAACAATTACAGTGAAGCAGAAATGAATTTATGTTATTTCACTTACATATGCATCCAAACTATTTCTATTCCATTCCATTTATGTGCTTTCTATAATTACTGCTCACATGCAGATTAATGTCTTTTTAAACATGTCAAAAATACATTTGGGTAGTTTTGCCATTTAATTTAATTTAATTTTCCATAAACATCTTAACAGATTACATAACGACTTTTAATCCTGGACTTTTCTTACTTTATTTCTCCTTCTCTCGTAGATTTGATCATTTTCATAAATAGTGTGGATGTATATTTTGATTAAGTGCAACAGGATCCACTGAGCACGTTGGTTGTGTACATTTTATTGCTACAATTTTGTAAAGTTTAATTTGAATACAGGATTTGCATTTGTATGTAATACTGACTTATTTAACAACTTCTCTTACTTAATTAAAAGATTCTTCATCCTCTGTGCACAGTGAGGAGGGTTCTTACCTTGTGTCAGGAGAGTCAGCAGAGTTGCCACACAGATCACTTTGTAGAAAGCCATCGCTGCAAGTCCATATCATCAGAAATGCACCTGCTTTAATACCCTTCTTCTCTCCTCCCTCCCTCCCTCTCTCCCTCCCTCTCTTCCTCCCTCCCTCTCTGTCTACCTCCAACTCAAGCCCACCTGTCCATTGACACGCCCAACATCTTACCTATCACCTGTTTCACAAAACATCAAAAATGTCACGTGTCTGAGCAAAGTACATTTACTAAAGTTCTGTTCTTTGAGTACATGAAAATTTCCTTTTCACCACCTAGTAACGTTTTTAGATTTTACACTAAAAACAAACATGATAAAGCTTAAAAATACAATGTGTTGTCACAGATTAAACCTTTTTTTCCTAATAATAGCAATTATAGCTTTATTTGTATAGCCTTTTTCATTACAGGTAACAAAGTGCTTTTAAACTAAGGAAAACAAGTCAAACAAAACTAAAGCCTTCAAGTTAACTCTGAGAAGTCAGTCTATCTATGTTCTTAACACAACCCTGTCAATGTCTGAGACCCAACTTCAAATAAGTTATAAGCAAACATGTAAGTAGTCGAGCTATTAAGGAAAGCTATCTTAATGTCAGCGCCTGCTGAGCCCCGTTAATCAGCAGAATCGAACTTTGAATCCTAATTACTAACCAGTTTGTCTGCCTTCTCTTTCTGTGGATCTGACATCTCACATAGTCGTTAAGTTATGAATATGAGTTGGATTGTGATATTAAAGATAAGAATAGGCCAAAATATATGAGGTCACATTTCACTTTGACACTAAGCCTAAATCTTCCAAGCTGGCATCTGACTGGCACGCTGCTACGTAACACGGCCCACTGCTGATCAGATCGCCTATTACTGATCTCAAGTAGCCATAACTGGACGATATGAAAAAAAGAGAAGATTGCCGAAACTCTAGTTGTAGCTGAACGTGGTGGAGCTGATTTACTGTGCTTCATTTCCTGCTGGGAAAAAGACACATTTCAAATAATGAGGAATTCACTAGTCAAACAGCCTCAGGCTTCCTGCTAACAAATTAACTTGATTTGGAACAAGATGAACCAGTAATCAGTGTCACCAAACGTCAGTTTTTATTGTGCATCCATCACTTCAAGAATGTTTCTCAGCAGGGTTTGTAAAAAGCTAACAAGAAAAAAATAGCCATTATATAGGACTTTCTGAAAAAGTGCTTGGGTAAAAGTACCAATTTAAAACAATGTAAACATTCACCATTGCAAGAGAAAATCATGTTTTGATTCAGTGAACTTCTGTGAGATATCTGTTATCAGAGCACTGTGCCATATATTTAATAGAAAGATATCTAGTGTGTCCTCTATAGCAGTACAGCTGACCGCATTTACACACACAGCAGGCTTTTGAATACATACGTAGCTACCAGTATATACACTCACCTAAAGGATTATTAGGAACACCATACTAATACTGTGTTTGACCCCCTTTCGCCTTCAGAACTGCCTTAATTCTTTGTGGCATTGATTCAACAAGGTGCTGAAAGCATTCTTTAGAAATGTTGGCCCATATTGATAGGATAGCATCTTGCAGTTGATGGAGATTTGTGGGATGCACATCCAGGGCACGAAGCTCCCATTCCACCACATCCCAAAGATGCTCTATTGGCTTGAGATCTGGTGACTGTGGGGGCCATTTTAGTACAGTGAACTCATTGTCATGTTCAAGAAACCAATTTGAAATGATTGGAGCTTTGTGACATGGTGCATTATCCTGCTGGAAGTAGCCATCAGAGGATGGGTACATGGTGGCCATAAAGGGATGGACACGGTCAGAAACAATGCTCAGGTAGGCCGCGGCATTTAAACAATGCCCAACTGGCACTAAGGGGCCTAAAGTGTGCCAAGAAAACATCCCCCACACCATTACACCACCACCACCAGCCTGCACAGTGGTAACAAGGCATGATGGATCCATGTTCTCATTCTGTTTACGCCAAATTCTGACTCTACCATCTGAATGTCTCAACAGAAATCGAGACTCATCCGACCAGGCAACATTTTTCCAGTCTTCAACTGTCCAATTTTGGTGAGCTCTTGCAAATTGTAGCCTCTTTTTTCCTATTTGTAGTGGAGATGAGTGGTACCCGGTGGGGTCTTCTGCTGTTGTAGCCCATCCGCCTCAAGGTTGGGCGTGTTGTGGCTTCACAAATGTTTTGCTGCATACCTCGGTTGTAACGAGTAGTTATTTCAGTCAAAGTTGCTCTTCTATCAGCTTGAATCAGTCGGCCCATTCTCCTCTGACCTCTAGCATCAACAAGGCATTTTCGCCCACAGGACTGCCGCATACTGGATGTTTTTCCCTTTTTCACATCATTCTTTGTAAACCCTAGAAATGGTTGTGCGTGAAAATTCCAGTAACTGAGCAGATTGTGAAATACTCAGACCGGCCCGTCTGGCACCAACAACCATGCCACGCTCAAAATTGCTTAAATCACCTTTCTTTCCCATTCTGACATTCAGTTTGCAGGAGATTGTCTTGACCAGGACCACACCCCTAAATGCATTGAAGCAACTGCCATGTGATTGGTTGATTAGATAATTGCATTAATGAGAAATTGAACAGGTGTTCCTAATAATCCTTTAGGTGAGTGTAAGTGTGTTCAGTCTTTTGTTTTATGCAGTCTGTGGTTCAGTGTTCAGTGTTCACCAAAACTAAAATTAATATTTGTTCTTGAAGTCACCTGTCTGTCATGAGGAACAACAGAACGACTGTGGGAATGTTACAGTGGGTAACTCATGATGATCTGGTTTACAATGTATTTAATTTAGCCTAATTCATTTTATCAGTGTGCTGCCTGTCTGACTGGAATACTTGTGAAATATTAAGAAAAACATATGTGGTGGAACATCAAGATTATCAAGAAGAAGATTATTAAAATGATTGGGTATAAAAAGATCATTCTTTCTGAAGTGAAGATGGGGAAGGGTTTACCACTCTGTGAAAGACTGTGCTGGCAAATACTGCAATAATTTAAGTATGTTTTGTAAAATTGCAAATAACCTGGGGATTCTGTACATCAAATCATTAAAAGATTCATAGAATCAGAAGAAACCTCTGTACACAGAGCAACAAAAAACAATATTGAATGCTGTGATCTTTGGGCCTTCAGATGGCACTGCATCAGAAACAGACAGGATTCTGTGGAACATTACCAAAAACCATTGTCTGTGAACACAGTTCGTCACTGCATCCAAAAATGTAAGTTGAAACTCTACCATGCCGAGGAAACTGTATATAAACCAGATCCAGAAACGCCACCACCTTCTGTGGGCCCGAGCTCATTTAAGATGACTGAGGCGAAGTGGAAAACTGCATTGTGGTCTGACAAGTCAAAATTTGTGTCCACATGCGCCACTGGCTGAGACTGATTAACGGAAATGGAAGGACTCGAGGAAGTGGTTCCCCAATCACATGCAGCTGACTGCTCCCTGTGTGTGATGCACTTAAATTGTAACAAAAATAAATCTTACACTAGCCTTTCTAAAGTTCAATTTGCTCAAAGACAAGTGACATATCAGGCACATGAGATCACAGCAGAGGGAAAATGTGTGTGGAGTTTGCAGGTTCTCCTCGTCTCTACGTGGGTTCTCTCCAGGTGCTCTGACTTCCTCCCACCGTCCATCGACATGCAGGCTTGGTTAATTAGTGACTCTAAATTGCCCTTTAGTGTGACTGGGTGTGTGAGTGGTTGTTCGTGTCTGTGATGGACTGGTGACCTGTCCAGGGTGTAGCCCACCTCTCGCCTGATGTCAGCTGGGTTTGGCTAAGCGCCCCGGCATACAGAATGGGCGGTTGACAATGGATGGAGAAAAAGGTGAAGAGCTTTGTAGGAATGACGTCATGTTGTAGACAGCAGATCCCAAATTAGTCAAAATGAGAGGGAAATCTCTCTCTTAGAAACCAGTCTTTTGAGCGAGGGGTGAAAAAGTGTCCTACCTCGAGCAATAGCGTGCCAAGCTCCAACAAACAGCAACAAGTGACGTGCAGAGGGAAGCTCTGTGTCACCTACAAGGGTTAAACTATAAAACCCATTTGTTCGAGACCATTGCACCCGTTGTATTTGCTGTGGAATGAGGACAGTCAGGAAATAGAAACGTTGTTTTTACAGCATGTTTTCTGGAAAAGAGAGGCTGCAGATGTTTTGTTTCTCTTTCTCCTTTTCAATCTGAGCTGTTTGAAGGGGTGTGTCCACACATGCCACTGGCTAAGCCTGCTGACTAGAAATGGAAGGATTTGAGGAAGTCAGACCCGTGTATGGGGAGAATAGATGAGTGTACAGATGGTAATGTATACAAAACAGTTTTCACATGCACAAGTCAGGTTAAAAGAATGTTGAAGTAGTTCCTGGTATACATTCTTCACACCCCATCGTTAAACATTCACCTGTGAACATGAATGACCTGTTTGAGGTGCCAAATGATATAGGGGCAGTTCATAAGTATGACATGGGTCTGATAAAAGATGCAACACATCTGATAGTTCACCCAAAGTTAGATTTTTGATGATTTGTTGATTTTGATGATGTGTGATACAATATACACACAAACAAGAAGCACTTGAAGGTAATAAACCTGTTTTTGATTTGGTTTCTGCAGTGATTAGCATGAAAATCTTGTATGACCTAATGATCTGATCATCACAAGAAGCATGCAACTTTGACACCATCCAAATTTCAATTTGCTCTAACACAAGTGACATATCTGGGACATGTGATCACAGCAGAAGGCAAATCTCTCTAGCAAACGGCATCCAAACTTATTCAAAAACAATAATCATTTTTAAAAAATGGAAAAAGGTGATGAGCTTTGTAGAAAGGATGTCATATTGTAGACAGTGGATCCCAAATTATTCAAAATGAGAGGCAAATCTCTTTTTCATGAGTCAAGGCTAAAAAGTTCAGTGCAGTTGACAGAATGACTTGGACTTATGAAGCTGACAGAGCTTTCACTGCCTTAAAGGGCTGTTTACAATTGGCCCTACTCAGGAACTATTACAACCTGATCTCCCTTTTTACTCAGTTTGTTGACCAATAGAA